GGATCCGTCCGTTCACTGAGTCGCTGCCAAGACGCGGCGCTTCCCTCATCCCCGATTCCTGTAGGCTGGGAGGTCGCGGGCCGGTAGGAGCTTGGTGGACCTCAGCGGGCGTGTCAGAGGAGTTCGTTACTCTGACATGCAACGGCACAAATTAGGAGAGTTGCATAAGCGCTGCAACAGGTACCGACCGCCCGCCGCCTCGAGCAGGAATTCGCGAAATTGACGCGCTCCGGGCCTATCAGAGTCGCCGGGGATATTCAGCCCGGGTGCAATCATCACGAAGCAATACACCGTCGACGGCCTTGTCTAGTTGGCCTTGTGCCCTGGCGACAAGTCCTCGCAGCCATCACACAGCGCGCGCGCTGCACGCCGGCTCTCTCGGATTACATGAATGCACTATTTGCTTTGCTGGAACACTTGCGAGGCGCGTGCCACACGCTTTGTTGCGCTTGACTCGCTAGCTTGGCCCTGCACTCGCTGCCAGTCTGCCAGCACTGCGCTCGAGCACCACTCGCATAGAGAATAAACTTGGACAGCTGACAGCTAAGCACGCAGCAATCTCAGTTGGGAAGTGCACTAGGCGTCGAAGCCTCTTGCGGGCTTCGAGAAGGAATTTCCCAGGCTCCCCCTTGTCCTGCCCTGCGGCTCGCTTCTACAGCACTGGCACAGACGACGCTGGGAGATTGGGACATGACGACATGTTGCGGTTGCACTCATCTTATTTGGCGAGCCCGAGTAAGTCTACCCTGCATAATCGCCCGATGCCTACCTAAGCTGCGGATGCATCGCGATCTGCAAAACATTGGATGCTTCTTCGCCCACACCGGTCAAGACGTGTTCCGTCCGCGTGCAAATTTCGCCGAACGCCAAAGATGCAATATGTATCCGACGAGCCCTGTGCGACTGCCTACTCTAATCGATGCCCATATCCGCCTGGCCGGTAGAGGACCCGTGACCCCTCACTTGGCATAGCGCTTGACCCAGTCCTTTACGTTCTTCTCAAACTCCTTGCGGTTCTCCCGGTACTCGTTGGCGATGGACGGCTCGATGGCGTCGTCCGGGTTGGGCTCAATGAGCAGCGTCTGGATGAGGCGCAGGACGGACACCACCTTGTTTGGCGGCTTCCACTCGTCAGCGCGCAGCAGACCCAGGCACATGGACCCCTTGTCGTCGTTGCTGACGTTGGGGTGGTAGATCTTGGTTCGGAAGCTGACGACGGGTGGCTTGAAGGGGTATTCGGTCGGGAAGGTAATCTCGAGCTTGAAGTGGCCGCCCTGCAGGCTGTTAGCAAGCGCTACCCACGCCGCACGGAGGGCGCATGGATCAAACCTACAGCGTACGCCGACTGGGCTGGCCCGTCCATCAACACCTCCCACTTGGTCATGTTCTGCTCGTCGAAGTTGATCTTCATACCCGGCGGTGTGTCAGCCATGCACTCGCCGTACTCCTGTGGCCCTGTTAGCATGATTACTTCTGCGCCGGCCTCCATGTAGTGGCTTGCCTTCATAATACGCTTCTTCGCTCCGGTGCTCATGTTTACGGTTGGTTGAGTGAGTTGTTTGTAGGTTAGGCTGTCTCGTGCAAGAGACTCTGGGACTGCACCGGGGTGAGCGGTGTGGTTAAGTAGCCAGGTAGAAGCTGGTGCACAGGTAAAGGAAGCGCGGATAGTAAGAATAGACTGCAACACTGTGACTGCGCTCGTGGGTAGGCGGATGCAGTGCAGTGGCAGGTGATTGACGTGAAAAGAGGGTTGTAGATGTGGGGAAAGTTGCCTATGGATGACGAGGGACCTCGATTCCTTAGTCAAAGCTCCGCACGCGGCCCGGTAGACGATCGCCTGCACACGTTCTGGTAGCAGGATCACGCTAGCATTCACACGTTGCCAGTTCCATCTCTGTCTCTCTTCAAAAGATGTCTGTGACACGCTGTGAATCCACTTGACGTTCGAGCAACGTGACGACGTCATACCATCACCAAGGCACACTCGTCTCGGTTCTGGTGCCTCATTCGCGAGTGCCGAACATCAAGGTGCACCCCCGTCCTGATATCTTATCAAGCCGCCCCGGTCCATACCGCACGTATATCTCCGAGACTGCACATCCTCGCGATCCGTCTAGAACACGTGGTTTTGACCGCTTGACAAGCTATCGTGTTTCAGCTTGGGCCTGACAGCAACGACAGCTTGCGACAGGCACGCAGGCAGGCTTTCACGCTTTCACGCACCATCATAGCGCATAAGCGCTGCATTATACTTCGGAGCTCCGAACTTACTTCTAGGTTCTGTCTCCGTCGGAGGACGTCTTCCTAAACTTATGCGCTATGCAGGGCTGCAAGACTGGAAATTGGGCTCATCTCATAGGCACACTCACTTTTGTTGTGAGTCACCGACTGCCCAACACCCAGATCACGTTACATCGCGACAGAGACGCGACGCGCACACCTGACGGCCCGATCAAAACGGCTATGAATTCAAACACAACTTCCCTGCCCATGCTAACTTATTTCTGCGCTCCATATTGACGTCGCTAGGTCCAACGTCATACCGCTTGCCGTTGATGCTCGCTTATCGTCACTCCTCGAGCCAGAAATCCATCATCTTCCATGTTTGGGAAAGCCTCGAATGAGCACTCACAACAATCAATGATGGCGCCTCGCAGCCTGATATCTACTGCAGCTCGCATGCAGCAATTGGCGAATAGCGATAACAATCTGCGTGACACAGCCCAGCGTGCCAGCGCTAGTTGTCCCAGGCGACAGGGGCGGCGACTTGGCATCGCCAGTATTTAACAGGCCGCAACCCCACAATCTTCAGCCTTTACGCCTCACGACAAGCTTGAGTTCGACAACCAAAGCGTGCTTTATCTTCACCACCAGTGTTGGTAGACTCGCTTAAGCTCTTCGGATTTTCAACGACTTTTCTCTCCCGAAAGGTTTGCGAAATCTGAGAGTTTCCGGAGCTCCATTTCTCTTACTTGCTGCTGCGTCACTAACCTGTCCACTCTTTACGAGAAACTTCGTCGCTCGCTACTTCGATTCCGCTCTTCGGTCAACATGTTCGGCAAACGCTCTTTCGCTAGCTCGAAGGAGAAAGACCGCTCAGGCAAGATTACCAAACAGCCGAAGAGATCGTTCCGCGATGCGTCCAAGCAGAAGGTGATGGTCGAGAAGCTGGATGCGCGCAAGGACAGTCCAATGATGGACGGTGGGTCACCATCGCTCACCTCTGCCATTGTGACAGTGATCGTTGGTTCCGACCAGCGACTGTTCGCTGCGCACGAAGACGTCCTCTGTCATTCCCCGTACTTTGCTGAACTGCTGCGGGGCCAGTTCTTCGAATCCGCTAACCGCCGCATCGATCTGCCTACGGAGGAACCTGAGATTTTCAGCTGCATCCTCGAGTACCTGTACAAAGGTGACTACTACCCGCGCCTTGTCCACGACAAGCGACGCCAAACCTGGATGCTCGAAGGTGCAGTTGCCTCACCCGACCCAAACAAAACCGGCGACCGCGCAGCCGCCGTCGAGCCAACCTTTTTCCACTCCGGCGTGGGCGACGTCATCCTGCGCGATACAGCCGTGTACTGCGCAGCCGATAGCTACGGCCTCGAAGAGCTCAAGAAGCTCTCTCTGCGCAAGCAGGGCCTGCAGAGCGGGATCGAGGTCGGAACCATCTTGCGCAGCGCACGCTATGCGTACGAGAACACGCCGGATAGCGACTCGCGGCTGCGCGCTCATTACCTCGCTCTGATTATCCGCAGTCGGAAAACTTTCAAGCGTAGTGGCACCATGCAGATGGAGATGGAGATGGGGGGAAAACTGTTCTTTGACCTGTTCGTGGCTATGTGCAATCATGTTGATGATCTTGTGGACGCGAGGTACGCCTTGCGCATCTTTTCTGTTCAATTCCTGCAAACTGTGTTTCCCCGTGATGTTAATTTCATACTGACAAACTCGCAGCGCCAGCGCCCGCGGCACTCCCAGGACCATCTAAAGACCTCTGATTCGCACACCCACTTACCCGTCACCGTAACACCCGCAAACAAACACACACTCGCATACAACACCGGAGTACACACCAAGTTGCCAAACCATACTCCGCTCGCACACCCCAAATTGCCGACCCGCGACAAAACGTGAAAACAATCACAAAAACACGGAGTAATACCCATTCTCCCTGCTTTCCCTCGGCGTACCGTTGTATCATCCCAACTCATCTTTATCTCATCTTGCTCGCTCTCTTTAACTAGTGGAGTTTGCTTACCCCCATCGCGTCCCCCCTTGGCCCTTAATTCCAACGAACAAACAACATCAACGAACCTATTTCCCCCTTCTCTGCTTGCAGAGAGGAGTACTCGACGACGACGAAACTGCGTTTCCTTTGTTTTGTGCTTTTGGGAATCAAGGCTTGTTGTACGAACATATCAAAGGGAATAAGAAGGGGACATTCATTTTCATGACGCATTGGTGCTGCGTGGATTAGGAAGACATCGTGCTGGAGGACACCGCTCTCTGGTGGAGACGTGTCCGATGCGGTGACTAATTGGTCCGGACCGCTTGGAATGGAAGACTTGCTGTGGAGGATCTGGAGCGGTGGTGGTAATGAGAAATCAACTTTGCCGCCGCTATATTTTGTTTTGATGTTGATGTGATGTTTGACATCTTCTCTTTCCCTTCGCCCTTCACGACTACACAGATGCTACGCTGGCTTCATGCTGAGGTAGATCTGCAAACTGGTTTAGTTTCTTGACAGTGTGAGGTTCTCTATCTTTGGAACGAAAATAGGGTGTTCATCGCAATGCCATCCGCTGGAGGCCGCCGTTTCCCCACGTGGCGGACCCTGCATCCCGCTGTTGCCCCACCGAGGGGTAGTTAGGTAGCTCTGGCGGTTGGAAGCTATACAACACAACATAACACAGCTTCAGTATTCTCCACTAATACACCAAACCTCAATTCTCTCCTCACAACAGAAGCCGTCGAGGAAGCCGACAAACACAACCAACATGGCCGACGTAAACCTCAAAGAAGTCCATGACTTCATGATCACCATCGCCAAACAAGCCGGCTCGCGCATCACCTCCGCAACGCCAACCACACAAGGCTCAGGCTCAAAGAAGAACTGTATGTAGCACCTCATCATCCCAGAACCCGATTCAATCCACAAACAAACCTCCCTTACTAACCCTCCTTCCTCACCACGCAGCCGTCGACCTAGTAACCGAAACCGACCGCGCAGTCGAAGCCCTCATCTCCACCTCCCTCTCCACAAAATACCCAGATTACGCCTTCATGGGCGAAGAGACCTACAAGCCCGGCGACACCCTCTCCGCCGACCCCACCTTCATATGCGACCCCATTGACGGGACCACAAACTTCGTCCACCGTTACCCCTACGTCAGCATCTCTTTGGGGCTCGCCATAAACCGGGAGCCGGTGGTGGGAGTCGTTTACAACCCGTTTACACAAACGCTGTACTCAGCGATCAAGGGACAGGGTGCATACTTGAATGAGACGACGAGACTGCCGTTGAGCGAGCCGACGAAGTTGGATGGCTTGAGCAGCTGTTTGGTAGCGGTGGAGTGGGGGAGTGATAGGAGTGGGAATGATTTCAAGGTCAAATCCGAAACCTTCAAGAAACTCGCTGCTACAAAGGAGAATGGAGGGGGTATGGTGCATGGACTGCGGTCATTTGGTTCTGCGGCGCTCAATCTGTGTGGTGTGGCGAGTGGTGGGTTGGACGTTTACTGGGAGGCTGGGTGTTGGGCGTGGGATGTTTGTGCCGGATGGGTCATTCTGAAAGAGGCGGGCGGTATTATGGTGGATGCGAATCCGGGGAATTGGAAACCGAAGGTGGAGGGGCAGAGGTATATGGCGGTTAGAGGAGGAGAGGGGCAGAAGGAGATCGTTGAGGAATTCTGGGGGTTGGTTGAGGGAGCTTTTGAGGTTGGTACGTAGAGAAAACATTCTTAAGGTCTTGTAGACTTCTGGGATATTTGATTTCGACAGGTTTATGGTTCTCTCTCAGTTGATGACCAGACTGTGTTGCCAAAGACACCTGGTTTAAGGCAGCCCGGGAATCTTACTATGTATGCATTCAGCTGAAGCTTGAAGCGAAGGGACAGGAAGGTGAGCGTTCTTTCTTGACGCGACCTCGGGACGCGTCCTTATCTTAGCGCAATCTCACACCTGGGTAACACACACCTACGTCATCGGAATCCTTCACCCAGAGCCTTGCATTTCACCTCTTGAACTCCTATTGGAAACCTCACAGCATTCGTTCTTTTATTCATACCACCAAGATGCCTACCATACTCGTTGTAGGCGCAACGCGCGGCCTTGGTGCGAGCATCGTACAAAAATACGCAGCAGACGCGAACAACCATGTCCTAGCGACCGCGAGGGCGTCAGAGCCTCCAGAGAACAGTGGGCCAATTCCTACTCCTCTGAGATGCTACATCAGACTGATTCAGTATAGCAAACAACATAACATACATCCCCAACGTCGATCTCGAATCCCCCCACGTCGGCAGCGATCTCGTCCACTTTCTTGAATCAAACCACATACCACACCTAGACATCGTCATCATAACAGCCGGATACTTTAAGACAGAATCGCTTAAGGAGCCCTCGTTCTCCGCGCAACAGCGCATGTACACCATTTGCGCCATCGGCCCCACCATACTCGTCACCGCCCTTGCAAACTACAACAGCACCCTCCTCTCTTCGGCATCCAAGATTGTCTTCGTCTCATCCGAAAGCGGCAGTATAACGCTCCGGCACGAGTCTGAAGGCGGCGGCAACTACGGTCACCATGCTAGCAAGGCAGCACTCAACATGTGCATGAAGTTGTTGAGCATAGATTTGAGGGATAGGGGCATTGCGGTTGTCTCTGTTCATCCGGGCTTCATGCGGACGGAAATGACTCGTAATGTGGGCTTTGATAAGTTCTGGGATGAAGGAGGGGCGGTTGAACCTGAGGTTGCTGCGGAGAGCCTGGTGGAGTGGATTGAGACGTTTGATATTAGTCATACTGGACAGTACTGGGCGCCGAGGGGACCTGGGTAAGTTGTTGTTGATGTGAGATATATGGAAGTGAGCTAACAGGGGGTCTAGTGATATTGGTACTGCTGAACCCGTGTTGGGGCCGAAGAGCAAGCTGTCTACTCCTCTCCAGCTGCCTTGGTGAGCGGTCTGACCGGCTGGTGTTGTTGGATCGCTAGACATGATGACTAATGAATTATCGATATCGGCAAAGAAGTCAGGAACGAAGTTGTGAATGATACTCTAAATTATAAACTAATGTTCTACATAAATGACTTTTCCAACGCCTCGCTCCCAAAACATCACTCTAATCGAGAAAGAAAACGCTATACGCTATGCTAAAATACACGGAAATCAGCGCTAGAGTCAGTCGACTCAGTCCTCGCCATGCTCGCGCCGTCTTCCTTGGTCTCTTCCTTGGTCTCTGCCGGAATCCACTTCTCCGCATCCCCCAAGCGATCCGCCGTAAGACCCGCAGAGCCCGGATTGCGCATACCCGCCTCCAACTGCCTCTGATAACTGATCTGCCTCAACCTCTGCGCTTCCTTGGGGGTAAGCTGCAAGTAGACCTCTACACCAAAAGCGTGCAGCGCAAACGACACCCACAGCGCCATACCGAACGCCGCATTCAGTGCAGCCCCCGTGTTCTCCGGGCCTCCTACCGCAAACGTCGCGGCGACGCTGGAGACAGCCTCAGGATCCGTGCCGTTGACAAAAGCCGCGCAGGCAGGGTACGAAGACGCTAGATCCACGTTGCCGGCGACTGTTGCGGCGAGCTTTGCGCAGGACCAGACGACGTGGTAGTTTTGCTTAGCGATGACCTGCGCGGCGATGATCATGATGAGTCGAGTCGTAATGATGCTGCCGGCGTAGAACCAGCCTCGGAGCATCCATGCACGGTGCTGCTCAATCTGAAGTCTCTTGACGTTGATGTAGCTGACGATGAAGCAGCCCAGCGATGCCAGTCCAGCAATTCCAACCCAAGCTTGCACATCGAGCCCGCCGCCGAATGCATGCCGTGCGATCATCAGTGCGCCAACGAGACCGACGATGTACAGCAGGAGTGCAGCGTACCCGCCGATGCGATGAACGATAATCCACCTCTTTCGAATAAACGGCGTGAACTGCAGTACAGCGAGTAGACTAGCGGGTAGCACGCCAGCGAGATGCAACAAGATTCCGATTTTGTACTGGCTGAAGTTGAGGTAGTAGTAGCATTCTCCTGGTGCGGCGCCGTTACCGCTGGAGCTGGGGCCTGACGAGGGGCAGAAGTTGCGCGAGAAGTCGAGGTAGAAGACGCGGGCTAGGGCGAAGCCGACGAGTGCGCCGCCGAAGATGAAGTAGAGCCAGAAGTTGTAGGTTTTCGTGAAGCCGAGGGGGTGGATTATGCGTTTGGTGAAGAAGTTGGGGGAGGGGGCTGAGGCGACCATTGTGATGGTTGATGCCGGAACCTTGAAGAGGAGTGTGGTTTGGTAGGTAGTTGTCGTGTAGTTGATGGAGACGATTGGTTTTTAGTGCTTTAGGTAGAAGCTGATGGAAAGTAGTCGAGGTGATGATGGTTGCTGGTTGTATGCCATCTTCGAGAGAGATTTGGCTTCATGTTATACCAGTTGACCACACAACTGTGCAGACGATCACCATGCCGTATTGAGAACATTTCGCGCTGGTATGCAGGAGAAGACGTTTTGTCAGCGGAAGGTACCCAGCGCGCAGTGACCCCGCAAAGGGTGCCCCATGCGACAGAAGAGTCTCCTTGACCGATTGTTAAGGCTTCGATGCGATCGCAATGGTAATCAGGATATCGCATGGCTACTTCGATCTACACCGAGCTATCTGCGGTGAAAGCTGGGGCCCCTCTGCAGCAGCGCGAGTTGTCGCAGAATCAGCCGAAAGGGGTAAGGCGCGAGGAACCATCATTGGTTGATTGAGATGACATAGTGGAACGCCTGATGCTTAACAACGTGGAAGTCATACAAGCCACCTCCCAAGCATGTCGACCGTCGTCATAGACAAATGCGCGCCAATCAATAGCTAGCCCTACAGCTACTACAGGCGCTTCACAGCCCTACGAGACTGCGCTTCTTTACCGTTACGCTAGCAGGCAGACGATGTATGTCCATATAGGGAACATTCTGCGCTGAACAGGAGTGACAGCGGACGAAATCCATCGTGCATGCGCCAACTCTAACTTTACGAGATGGTGGGAGTTCCAGGACGCTCCAAAGGCTGCGTGACGTGCCGAAAAAGAAAGAAGGGCGTAAGTGCGAGCGCCTACGAGCAACACCCAAGACGTGAAGCTGATGTGTTTTAGTGCGATCTAGTCCAGCCTGAGTGCGGTCAATGCAAAGAACGCGGGATAGCCTGCGGAGGCTACGACTCGGACCGCATCTTCATCTACCAAAAAGGAAGCGGGCCTACCCGTCCTGCACCAAAATTAGGACGCCATGCGACGCCTGAGAAGTCTCCCGGACAGCCACCTCGGCAAGGCATGCAAATCATGCAATTCAACCCTGTATCGACTCCAGGAACACAGCAAACATGTTCCATGTCGATACCAATCATGCTGCCCGATGCGCTCGCGAGATCCGCTTACAGCGAGAAGACTATGGCGACTTTCTTGAATATGTACAACCCGCAGGGCGTTATCCACACCACCAACACAGACGCAAAGGAGTTTGTTAGCTTGCTACCCTTGCTTAGCACGCGCGATGAAGCATTACAGATGGCTGCTCTGGCAGTTGGCATAACACAGCTTGGGGTAACTTCGGATAACGAAGCTCTCACGCGGCAAGGAAGGACACTGTATGGGAAAGCGCTCAAGGAAACAGCCGTGGCTTTACAAAACCCTGCTCGAGCGAGTAGCGAATCACTACTTGTTGTACCGCGAGTCATGGCTCTCTTCGATATGCTGTTCGGCGCGGAACCGAATACGACCAACCAGGCGAAAAGCTGGCTCAGTCACTGTGAGGGTGAGCTAGCTATGATAGTCAGTCGTGGCCCGGAGATATTTGCGGAAAACGACGCAGCGCATAGACTCTTCACTAATGCAAGATACCGGCTGCTTGGTCCTGCCATCCGCGGCAGGAAACCAACCATACTCAATGAGGAAGAGTGGAAGACGATACCTTGGAAAGGGCGGACCAAGTCATCCGACGATGTTCTCATAGACATCCTCTGCGGCATACCCGAGCTTTTGGGCGCAATCGACAAGCTACAATTCGAAGATCTGGGCGAGCAAGAAAGAGAAGGGCTACAAGTATACACCATAGCAAAATGCTGGACACTGCATTTCGAGCTCGAAGCTTGGGTCAATGCAGAAGCAAACGCCATCTACACACCCGAGATCGTTAGCAACGCAACCCCAATCACCTTTCCCAGCATAGACATTGCTTGTGTCACTGTACGCTACTGGTTGACAGCCCTCTTCCTGTACTCCACGCTCGACGTCGCAAGTGGCATCGATCTCTACACCGATACCTCACTTTCGCACCCCGATCGCCCACACCCCCGACCGTTCGCCCGCATGATCATGAAGTCTGTCGACTACTTCCTCCAAGAGCAGTTCGGTGTGACGGGTATCATGGCTATTTGGATGCCGCTAGGCAATTCGCTGTTCTATTTGAATAGAAATCGGATCCCTGACGAGGAATACATAATGAGCATCATGCGGACCTGGCATAAACCCAAGCTGCCGAGCACGATGAGAGAGTTTTTGAAGAGTTTTAGGGAAACGGTTGATTTTAGGACTTTGCTGGCGAAGCCTATGAGCGAGTTGTGAATGGAAGTCGAGGCGATCCGGGCGACCGAAAGTTCAGATGAGATTCACACATGAGCGTTAAGGGTCAAGACGGGCATGAGTAGAGATATAAGACATTATAATTATCTACAAACCAGCAACACTATCCTCAGCGTAAAAGCCAACACCGTCGCTATGCACACTAAACACCTCACCAACCTCAATCCAACTCAATGATCCCTGGCCCAAACACCGTCTTCTCAGCAACCTCCCCCGCCCCCGCAAAAGCATCCGCCCCCATCGTCACCGCCGCAATCGTCAACCCCTCCATAACAAACTCATCAAACGGAAACTCCGCCTCAAACATAACCCTATCATCTTCCATCTCCACATTCTGCAGCGCCTTGACAACCGGCACATTCTGCCCATTGATCCAAACCAACTTGAGCATATCAATCTCAAACATACCCGCGTCCTTCATCGAGAACGAAAATTTGATGTTTTGCGTCTGCGCTTTGATATCCTTTGTTTCGACCGCCAGAGGCTTGAAGCGCTTCAGTGGAATGGTGTTGATGTTCGGACAACTGCCCTCCACGACGAAGTCTTGGATAGCGGTGAAGGCGAAATCGCGGGATGAGGACGTGAGGAAGGGTTGGGCGCTTGGCCGCTTCTTTTGCTCGGCGCGGAAGAAACCTTCTTGGGAGCCTTCGTTTCCTATTACTGATGCTACCGCGTGTACGAGACCGAAGTCTTGGGAGCGAGCGAAGAGTTCGGAGACTTCTTGTAAAGTGCCGAGGACGAGGTCTGTGAATGTTGCTGCGAGGGCAATGGCGCCTTCGTAGTCGACGACGGGAAAGTTGTATTTGCAGCCTTCGATGGGGGCGTTGTTGAAATGTTTCAACGCGTCGTTGGCGTTGAGAACGTGCATTTCCTCTTGATTTACGATGGCTTTTAGGGATTCGATTATGTAGCCTTGGCGGTCGCCGAGGTCGTAGCCGGGGAGTTTGTTCGTGACGTTACTCATCAGTTCGGTGAAGAATGCTACTTCGAAGAGCTCGTTGAGCGCGATTAGCTTGAGGTTTGTGGTGCCATCGGGGCTGAGGGTGGGTGGTGGAGGCCCGTTGGGTAGGGTGCCGTGGCCGTCTTTTTGGATTTGGAGAACGGCTTCTTGGGAGGGGTTTGGGAAGCCGTTTACTAGTGGGAAGGGAGTGTAGTCGCGCTTTTTGAGTGGTGCTGCGGATGCCAAGGTGATTAAGAGGCCTGCGGTCGGTATTATTGAGAAGCGCATGTTGTGTGGTGGTTGGGTGAATGAATGAGAGTTGGGTGATCGATGCAGGGGAGGAAGACGTATATCAGACAGAATGCTGGAAACGAAACAAGGGATTTGATATGATACTCTGGAGCCTAAGGCATCTGTTTGTTGTTATACATTAACCTATCACTCGTCTCGTCTTCGACGTTCAGGTCAACGGATGCAGCTCTTCCTTGACTTAGCCTCCCACCCTGTCCCACTATTCCCATCTGACATTCGCGCTGCACCTTGATCTTCTTTGATGTGGATGACCAACTAAAGCAGTTCACGTCGCGCTACGTGTGTTCGGCAATATTCGTGTCCGATATGGATCTCCTGCGCATCAGGACGGATAGCCGCCAAGGCTCAAACAGGGTGAGGCTATGCAGGCGACAAAGGAAACAACATGTGCCGGCACAAAAATAGACTACTGAACGTAGTAGTCGCGGTTGTATTCTGTAAGCGCCGTAGTCAAGAAAAGCTTATCTCGCGTTTGAGAAAGCTTGGTCAGTACTTTGTTTGAGGAGGTAAGCAGATCGTTCTCCAGGCTACAGTGTTTCGAGTGTCGCAGCAAGAGGAGCGAATCGGATCATAGCTCCCGGACCAAAGACCCTTAGTTCTGTGGGTTCGCATCGAAGTACTTGGTGTTTGGGTGGTCGACATGAAGTGTTTGGCTCGTTTCGACAGATCTACAATGGCTTGGCGTGAAACGTGGTAAGAGGCAATCGCGACGCGACATACGTTTCTTTCGGCAATCTGTCTGCAGCGGTTCAGTACTCCTTCGCGGATTCCTCTTACTACTCTAAAAAATTCTTCGGGCCCCGCAGTTGTACCTTCATCATTGCAGTATTTGCGCTAGGTGATATTGTCGTCGTTGAGGGTATGCAGATGGATGGAGGGGATGGTCTCGTGAACTTTGCCGGATCCGACCGGATATTTGGTAGCGGCGCTAGAAGGCACGCAACAAGACATCATGACATTCGAGGCAAAACCATTACTACATGTCATCGCTGATATATACGATTCGCTAAGGTATCTACAGTCAAAAGGAAATGCATCATATACATCGTTCAAAGCATCGTAAATGCGGCCGCGCACATCGACAATGCAGCCATCAGTCCAGCACTGACCCTCAGCCCGCTCGCCGCATCCTCTTCAGCGCCTTCACCTTTCTGTCCCTCCTCGAATCCATTACCAAGGTACAGAGCACCGAGCTGAGTCAAGCCGCCATCGTCATCAAACAGCGCGACGCCATCGCCTGTCCACTCGTTGGCATCATCTGTCCTGAAAGCACCGAACCATGAGTATCGCTCAACGTAATCCAGCTGATCGAGATACGGCAGTGTCCGGTTCATCATGCCGACGGTGTTCTCCTCGTCCTGTTGCGGAAGCGCCATCTCGGT